AGGGGATCCCCCTCCCGTCTGATCGACCTGGAGATTGGTTAGCATTCTGGTACCAGTTTACAGCCAGAAAAGTCAACGACCCTCATTTTCTCCACACTTCCGTCAAGGCAGGCCCAGTTAACGTGATCGAAGGCCTTCACAAAATCGAGGAAAAGAATGGCCGTGCTGATTTTCTTTTCCGTGACCTTTTTCAAGGCCTTGTAACCCTTGTTCAGTCCCAGGACGCTCTGAAGAATGTGCCTCCCTGGTATGAAGCGGGTTAGGTCCTGTAATTGGAATGCCAGGGCCTTCGCCACCAGGAGCAAGGAGGCAGGTCGGCAGGTCTGTGATTTGTTTTCGTTTTCCCTTGAATAAAAAGCAGCTTCATTACAAGGCTGGAAACCGGGGTCCTTGGCCAGTAACTCAATAGGAGAGAGTGTGAGCAAGGAGGTAGGTCTGTGATTTGCTTTCTTCCTCCCTTAAAAAAAATAAAAAAATAAAAAAATAAAAAAACCAGCTTTATTACAAGGCTTGAAAACGGGTCCAGTGTCCCTTACATAAAAAAAAAGATGCACTCCAGTCTTCCTTCCATTACAGCTGAAGGACCCCAAGACAACGGCATTGGTTGCTCCTATTCAGGGAGGATAAGACCACATGAAGCCCACAATAAGTGTATAATACGACTCAGGCCCGCCAGGGGAGCTGCAAAGGAGTAGTAGACTAGTAGTTGAAAATGCCACAGGTTTTTGCATTGTTAAATGCAAGTATATCTGCGTGGTCCATCGGGATCATAATTCTTATTGGCATAGGAAGGATATAACCTTTGTGAGTGCGTCCTACAAATCCATAGTACTCCATACTGTTGAGTTTTCCTAAAACGTTGCTGTAAACCACTGAACTTACGTTGCACTTGCCGACTGAGTGCGTACAGAGTATCAGGCTGCTGGAGGGTCATAAACGCTGCCTATGTAGCACCTGTCCTTTCCTCCTACTGCATCTACAGCATGCTGAGAGAAGGTTAATAGAGCGCTACATTTTCAGGGGTCTTTTTCATGGTCTGGTCCGTGTTAACCACCATCACTGCCACCACCAGGGAAAACCTGCTTCATCTGTGGCCCACTGATTTCAGAAGAGTGGCCGTCCCTTAACTTCTCTTTTGATTCTTGGTTTCAGAATCCCTTGGGGGATCATCTTGGTTTTAGCATTCTTGATGTTGTTCCAGAAAAACGTGTGAATGGCTTTGGTACTTTGGTCATTTCTGTACTTTTTCCTCTCTCTCTCTCTCTCTCTCTCTCTCTCTCTCTCTCTCTCTCTCTCTCTCTCTCTCTCTCTCTCTCTCTCTCTCTCTCTCTCTCTCTCTCTCTCTCTCTCTCTCTCTCTCTCTCTCTCTCTCTCTCTCCTGTCTCTTATACACATCTAGATGTGTATAAGAGACAGGCAGAGGGAAGTGGGTGAAGCAAATTTTCCTTGTTGGGTGTTATGTATGCTCTGCTTTTGGTATATCGTAGCATATGCATGTGCTGTGACATTTACTGCTCTTCATTGAGAGCTCACATGGCAACTGCTGAATGTTGGATTTGCAGGCAAGCCAAATATGCAGATGCTATTATCCAGCGGCTTGAGAAGCCGCGGAAGACAGCAGGTGAGAATCTAATAAGCCACTCTCTGATTACATGGTTGCGGATGTCAACCATGCGGTTTTCATGAACATCCTGTCTTGAGATCTCCCATTCATTCATTCGGCTTCTTTTCGTCCCCTTTTCCTGCCCTTTCTTTGAAGTTTTTCTTTTGTTTTCCACCCCTTACCATTTGTGAAGCAGGCGGCTTCCAAACATCGAGATATTTTTGCTTGAACGCCAATGCTTACGCCATCCATAGCTTATGCACCGTCCACGTCGGCATTCCAGACGCTTCTTGTGAACAACAGGCATTTAGATTGCCTCCACAACAGAACCAGTCATGTTGCGCCTCTGCGGTTGATCCCATCTCTGTGACCTTTCAATTGACTGGGTGTCCTTGCCGAGGCTGTTCTTCTAGTCTATCTTGATGGGCTTGTCCCATGTTCATCCCTTTTGAGCCACCTTCCCGAACCTTTTTTTTGGGGGGGGCTACCAAAGGTCTTCGTTTCATGCAAACGCAGCTGGTAGAGTAGTGGGGGACCGATCTTTCAATGTGGGCGCCCGGTACTTGTATGAAGGTGTTGCATCTTTTTTTCCCTTGATCCTTTTTTTTTTTCTTTTTTTTTTCCCTGTTGTTTTCTTCCAGGGAAAATGGGAAAATCTKTGTTGGGCAGTCCTTGTAGAAGAGCTGTCAACGGCATAGGTGGCAGGCTCGGCGTGTCTTTTTTTTTTTTTTCCTTTTTTTTTTGTTGGGGCCATATCTCGATTTATGTGTGTCATCCTTGCCCAAAGCCATGCTAATCTTCGCTGTATCTTTCCAAGTTACGTGGCAGAGTTCATTCTCACTTCGAACATGTGGACCGTCGTTTCAGGATGAGTTTTCTAGCCCACTTCCCACTACATGCAGAAAAGACAAACAGTGTGGTGTACCTTCCTCGTTTTTATTTATTTATTTATTCTTTTTTTTGGACCATATCTCGATTTATGTGTGTCATCCTTGCCCAGTGCCAATCTAATCTTCTGTGTATGATTCCAAGTTACGAGCAAAATTCATTCTCACTTCGAAGATCTGTCCGACTCTTTCCAGGATGAGTGGATTCGCTGGATTCGCTCACTGCCCACCACATGTGGAAAAGACAAGAAGTACGTGTGCTGTATCCTCGTTTTTTCTTTTTTTTTTATTGTGAGAAATCATGATGTTGTGTTCACTGGTCGTTCCGTCTCATTTTGAAAACGAACGACCTCCGCAGCTCTGCCAAGGCTCCACCCAGCCTCTACGGACCCTGCCCAGCTCTTCCATTAACTGTGGAAGGACAAAACGTTTGGCTGGGCGGGGTACTGGTGATTTAAACCACGAGTACTTGGCCCGTACATCGGCCGTCGGGCCCTCCCCGCGACTCTCGGAGGCCGGCGGCGCAATCTGGGCCGTTGATGCGATTTATCATAGGCCCGGAGGCTGCAAAAGTTGTGGGGCGTTAACGACAACGCCCCGCGGCCGATGTATGGGCCAAGTACTGGTGGTTTAAGTGAGAGTTCATTCTATGATTAAACCTTGTTAGGGAACATATTTGAGTGAGTTCATTCTAGGATCGAACCCTGTTAGGGAGGACAGTTTCTAAGAGCAGGTATGTAAGTGAGTTCATTGTAGGATGAAACCCTGTTAGGGAGGGAACATATGTACGGTGTTGTATACTTGCTTTGGTCATTCAAAGTGGATGAAGCCTTTGCCATACACTTCTGTTGAGTACATTTTCCAGACCGACTTTATGAAAGGGGCGCTGTGACTCTGCCACGTGACCCCCGAAGGATAAGGTAAGCTTGCTAGTCACTTTTCTTCTCTGATTTTTCCACGTGACACGAGGAGAAGGTTAGGTCGATTGAAACTTCGTGGGATTTCTCTTGTTGTTTGTTTTCAGCATTACCTTCGGTGGGGATGAAATTGATGCCGGCATCTCCACGGCAATCGACTGCGAGGACGTCGGAAGAAGGTGCATCGCCCAAGGAGGGATCTCTGCAGAGCAAAGGGGAAGTGGGAAAGGCTGAAGATGGAGAAACACATGGCCCCACTGCAGCATCAGATAATGGTTATCATGGCGAGGAGCCCCCCAAGGAAGATGTTCAAGAGCGTCATGCTGTGCCAGATGATGGGAGGTCACCGTATGATGTGTCAGCCGTGGACAAGTAAGACTACTTGCAGTATCTTGTTGTGTAAGTCTTAGATTTGAGCACGAAACCCGTTGGTCAGGAAAATCATGCAGTGTGTCGTTATTGCAAAAAGGACACATTCGTTTTGTGTCAATCTTCGAAGTTGCATATTGGGGTGAATCAAATAGAAGTAATTGTTTGCATGTATGCCTGCAAGGGGACACTATGTCATTTCTGTGAAAGGACACCCTCACCCAAACCCAAACTCCAGTGGAAGGGTGGGGTATGTGCTGCGCACTCGTAAACGGTCTGTCTCTGGGTTTGCAAGGTGCACAGGCGCTCTTCTCAGCACATGGACATAAGAGTCATGGCATCCAGTCTTTGAGAATGTCAGCACGTATGAGCGCATGCCACACTTTCTGCAGAACATCTGCAGTGAGTGAGTGCGTAGATAGTCCAGCACACAGGGCAATAGGAGGGGATGGGGGAAAATGTAGGTAGAAACATGCAGAGAGAGAGAGAGAGAGAGAGAGAGAGAGAGAGAGAGAGAGAGAGAGAGAGAGAGACGGGGAGGGTGGTAGATCGTTTGTGCCAAGTTTTGTGTGACGGTGGAATAGATGTAGACGAGGGAGAGATGTAGGGCTTGCAGAAGGGCAGGGTGGGGGCACATACACACATACACACACACACACACACACACACACACACACACAGAGAGAGAGAGAGAGAGAGAGAGAGAGAGAGAGAGAGGTGGACGGAGAGGGTGGTAGATCGTTTGTGACAACTTTTGTGTGAAGGTGGAATAGATGTAGACGAGAGAGATGTAGGGCTTGCAGAAGGGCAGGGTGGGGGCACACACACACACACACACAGAGGGAGAGAGAGAGAGAGAGAGGGGGGGCGGGGGTGTGGTTACCTCTTATAGGTGGTTTGCGTCATCTTTTGGTTAAAGTATTGAAGGTGGAATAGGTAAAGATGAGGGGGAGACAAAGGGCTTGTGAAGAAAGAGGGGAGAGACGAGGGGGCAGTAGGAGGGGGGAGATGAGGGGGCAGTAGGAGGGAAGAGCATATATCATCACATGCAGTGGAACACAGGTTTGTGTGTTAAGTGTGCCTCTTTGGTTGGAAGATGGTAGTTTCTTTGGACACTGTTCGCCACGCCACGGGCTGCTGTGGTGTGGAAGTCAACAGCAGAGTAATTCTGGGAGCAAACAGCATGGCGAGGGGGAGACAAAGGGCTTGTGAAGAAAGAGAGGGGAGAGATGAGGGGGGGGAGAGGAGGGGGCAGTAGGAGGGGGGAGACGAGGGGGCAGTAGGAGGGAAGAGCATATATCATCGCATGCAGTGGAACAGAGGTTTGTGTGTTAAGTGTGCCTCTTTGGTTGGAAGATGGTAGTTTCTTCTTATCATGGCCACTGTTGGCCACACCACGAGCTGCTGTGGTGTGGAAGTCAACAGCAGAGTAATTCTGGGAGCAAACAGCGTGGCAATGATGGAGTCAATTTTCGGATTTGCTGACAAAAATTATTTGTCGTGATCTATTAGCTCAGGTTGCGTACTGAACTGCAGTGAGAGTTGAGCCTCGAGCGAGTTGTATGTCTAGAACCACAGTCACATACAAGCCTAACATAGACCCTCGGACACAGCCGGTACTCATTGTCGGGGGATCTGACCATTCAGTTTCTAGTGATGGTCGTTGACGACACAGTTGGTTGGATGTGCAATGGATGTGCAAGTGAGCATCCCCATGTATTGGGGCCGGCACAAGAACCGCCAAGAAGTGTTGCCTTGTAATGTTGCTCATCAAGCATATGGTAGGAAAACCTCATCTCAGCCAATAACTGACCAAAACAGAACAAGATAGGTTATTCAAAATGGAGCCAGCCTAACTTTGCCGCATCTCAGGCCGATACGAAAAGCTATGTCCTGTTGAATCACCAACAAACTTTGGGCTTTGGGATTCCACCCCTGTTCCATGGCCTCCATTGGGGTTCCATTCCTGTTCCATGGCCCCCACTGGCGTTCCATCCCTGTTCCATGGCCTCCATGGGCATTCCAGCCTTGGTTGGTGGCCTCCATGTACATGATGTGAAACTATCTGGAGCACAACTCAGCAGTGCCTTGAAGGATGGATGTTGTCAGCATAGCAGGGCCCACATCACAGGTTGAAATCAGCTGAAGATGAAAAACTGTATGTCACGAGGGGTGTGTGTGTGCATGCGCGCGCGCGCGAGAGAGAGAGAGAGACATTCTGTTACAAGAGAGAGAGAGAGAGAGAGAGAGAGAGAGAGAGAGAGAGAGAGAGAGAGAGAGAGACATTCTGTTACAACTTCAAATGCGTATACATCATGCACATGTACTGGGTAGATTTCTTGTTTGCTGAGAGAGAGAGAGACATTCTGTTACAACTTCAAATGTGTATACATCATGCACATGTACTGGGTAGATTTCTTGTTTGCTGGTTTTCTGCATAGATATGATAGCTTGTATAGTACTGGGATCAGGTGACGAGGGTAAGCGAGGGCTTCTCAGCGTGAAGGCGCAAGTGCCCGAATGCACCCAGGAAACCCTCCTTAACCCTCGGACGGAAAATAGCACATCATTCGTCACAGCCTCTCTCTCTCTCTCTCTCTCTCTCTCTCTCTCTCTCTCTCTCTCTCTCTCTCTCTCTCTCTCTCTCTCTCTCTC